ATTGTATGGAAGGGGAATCCCCCCTCCATAAGGACTTCAGGTATTGAAGCTCTCTCTGGGGTTACTTCCCTCCCTGCCTGCTACACTCCCTGCATGCTTGCTACACTCCCTGCCTGCCTACTACACTCCCTGCCTGCCTACTACACTCCCTGCCTGCCTGCTACACTCCCTGCCTGCCTGCTACACTCCCTGCCTCCCACACTTCTTGTTTCCCTGCTACATTCCATGCTTGCCTGCTACACTCCCTACCTCCATGCTACACTCCCTGCATACTTGCTACACTCCCTGCCTGCCTGCTACACTCCCTGCCTGCCTGCTACACTCCCTGGCTGCCTGCTACATTCCCTGCCTCCATGCTACACTCCCTGCCTGCCTGCTACACTCCCTGCCTGCCTGCTACACTCCCTGCCTCCATGCTACACTCCCTGTATGCCTGCTACACTCCCTGCCTGCCTGGTACACTTCCTGCCTGCCCGCTACATTCCCTGCTTCCATGCTACACTCCCTGCCTCCCTTCCACACTCCCTGTTTCCCTGCTATTCTCCCTGCTACACTCCCTGCCTCTATGCTCCACTCCCTGCATGCCTGCTACACTTCCTGCATACCTGCTGCACTCCCTGCCTGCCTGCCTGCTACACTCTCTGCCTGCCTGCTATATTCCTTGCCTCCATGCTACACTCCCTGCATGCCTGCTACAATCCCTCCCTCCATGCTACACTCCCTGCCTCCCTTCCACACTCCCTGTTTCCCTGCTATTCTCCCTGAATGCCTGCTACACTCCCTGCCTACTTGCTACACTTCCTGCCTGCCTGCTACACTTCCTGCCTGCCTGCTACACTCCCTGGATGTTTGGATGAATGCGCAGAGTATATACTCACTCGCTGACAGACAAAGGGAGACTGACTCATGTACCTGTGGCGTCCTGGTGGGAGACGGGCTGACACACATTTAATACGGCTGATAAATGAGGTAATGGCCAAAATACAGAGGAAGATTTCCGCGGATAAAACAGCCTAAAAATGAAATGGCTGATAAATGCAGCGGCCTAAAAACAAGGTTCCAATGTAATTCTATTCACTCATGCGCAAGTCCCACTCAAATCAAATTATGTGTGTGGGGAAGTACCCTGGCTGGTGTGTGGGGAAGTACCCTGGCTGGTGTGTGGGGAAGTACCCTGGCTGGTGTGTGGGGAAGTACCCTGGCTGGTGTGTGGGGAAGTACCCTGGCTGGTGTAGGGAAGTACCCTGTCTGGTGTGTTCTTTCTTGAATTCTATCGTATTTCTCACCTTCTTTACTAAAGGGGTGACACTAGGAGTTTTCTTTTGGCCCATGGTGGCTTATTTAGTAGTTGCAAGCACAAAAAAAAAATGGATTATTATGAAATGTATCGCATGAATGCATGGGGTGATGGTCACTCGCCCAGAAACAATGCCACACTAACTCTCTGAATGGTTTGTGGGAGCCTTTGTGTATATGCAGCCACTGGGAGGTCGCTCATACACATTCTGGATGACCGACGAATGGCGAGGCAAATTACGAACTGTGAGACTATATTTTGACGAAAAAAAGTTGCTGAAAAGCAAAATTTACGAAACACAAGGCTTATGAAACTCGAGGGTCCACTGTATAATTTAAGGGTACTTCAAGCATTCCTAGTAGTCCAAGTGCTTGACTGAACTTATATGAACAGTGAAGGTTCTCTGTACATTATCCAGTTTTGCAATTTCTGCCTTGAAGGGGACTATTAGTATACAGCAATATTCCATCCTGGAGAAGATTAATTATCCGAAGAGTATCATAATCGGCTTGGCCTCTCATGTTTTGAATATTCTAGTTCCTTGAATGTGAGATCCTCTGACAGTGTCTCTTCCATGTCTCTCACACTGGACTTCCACTGTATTGAATGATTGAAGTGGCCTGTAATCTGTGTCGGTCTTTATTTCCTCAATTTTTCCATAGCAGAGTAACTGAAATTTGGTTAACCAGGCAAACACCATACAAGCCTGGCCCATGGACAGGCTCTGAGAACAAAAAAACTCTTGGAACTCATCAAAGGTATATCATAGGTAAGGTATGCCCTTGTTAAATATTGTTGTGTTTGTGACCCTCTGAAAGCTGTTTATATTAGCTTGAAGGTTTGCTGCATACTCAGTAGATTCCACATACAGTATAGTTTGAAGAAACAAGTCATCATAGGAACAGTTGGAGGGAGGAGATTAAAGGTTTTGAGTTTTAGGGGCATGAATAGCCAGTACATGTGTGTGAACATGTTAGACAGAAGTGAATGGAATGGTGGCAGATGCAGTTCAATGTAGATAAATGCAAGGTTCTGAAGCTAGGGAGTGTCCAAAACCCTAGCACTTATAAGTTAAATAATGTAGAACTTCGCCATACAGATTGCGAAAAGGACTTGGGGGTTATGGTGAGCAGCAACCTTAAACAAAGACAGTAATGCCTAAGCGTACGTAATAAGGCAAATAGAGTAGTATTAGGATTTATATTAAGAAGTGTAAGCAACAGAAGTCCAGAGGTTATACTGCAGCTTTATAACATCATTAGTAAGGCCTCACCTAGATTATGCAGCTCAGTTCTGGTCTCCATATTACAGAATGGACATAATTTCATTAGAAAACATTCAGCGTAGAATGACTAAATAATACATAGCATTAGAAATCTTCCTTATGAAGAAAGACTGAAGACTCTTAAATTACATTCACTTGTTAGATGAAGAATGAGGGGAGACATGGTTGAAGTGTACAAGTGGAAGATGGTTATTAATAAAGAGGATATTAACCCTTTCAGGGTCCGTCCCGTAGATCTACGGCTTTACGGTGAGTGTCCAAACCGTAGATCTACGCCATGAGCTCAGCTCACTCTGATAAACTGTGAGTGGTACATTTGGGCCTAGATATGAGAGAATACATCTGTGTGGTATGTGTGCACCACATAAAACAGATCCTGCAGCACACTGTGTATAATGAGAGAAAAAAACTGAAATCATGATTTTTCGATTAAAACAGCAACTTTGCAGTGTTTTTTCGTATGTTTTTTATAGTTGTATTTGCGATTTCTTGGTCTCATTTGATAGAATGGAAGACATATTACAGAAATAGAGATGATTTTGATTGGTTTTAGCACTGGAAATGGCTTGAAACTGAGCTCAAAGTAGCGGAAATGTTAAATTTTTGCCGATATTCAAGAGTAAACAAACGACCTCACACATCTAATACACGTCAGCTGGTGGGTCTAATATACATTCACAAATATGGTGATGATATTTATACAATTATTACAGTATTGCATAACAGTAAATCTTCTATTTTTTGGTGTGAATAAAAATTCATTATGTGAATAAAAAATCAAAATGGAATTTATTTGTAAAGCCTCAAAACATAACTAATGAACAGAGGAAATGTTAGTTTAGTGCCAGGAATGCCTACATTGTTTATTCTGGACCCTATTTAGAAATTGGAATATTTTGAACTTTGTGTTAAATTGGCCAAATTAACAATTTCCGATCACTTCATTTTGTAGTTGAAACAGTTGACTTGGCGATTTCTTGTGCTCAATCGATAGAATAGAAGTAATACTAGTGAAATAGCTAAGAATTTTGTTGATTGGAATAATGTAATTGGCCTAAAATGGGAGTCAAAGTCGGCAAAATCGCCGATTCGTAAATATCGCTGACACATCAAAATTCGCGAGAGCATAATTTCGTCAATTTTCCACCAAATTTCGTACTTTTTGTTTTATTACCTTCACAAAAAGATTCTCTACGATTTCATAAGAAAAAATAACAAATTTTTTTTTGAAAATTCTTGGACACTGGTGCGTGACTCCAGATTTGGGCCTTGGACCCTGAAAGGGTTAATAAGGTCTTGAGGATGTCTCTCCAAGAGAGAACCCGCAGTAATGGATTTAAATTAGACAAGTTTAGATTTAGAAAGGACATAGGAAAGTATTGGTTTGGAAATAGGGAAGTTGATGAGTGGAACAGTCTACCTAGTTGGGTTATTGAGGCTAGGACTTTGGGTAGTTTCAAATTTAGGTTGGATAAATATATGAGTGAGAGAGGTTGGATTTGAGTGGGACTTGCAAATGAGTGGATAAAGTTATCAGAGCTTATTTCTTGGGTAGCATTGAAAATTGGGTTGGGCAAATGTTTTGTTAGTAGGATGGATTGTAAAGGACCTGCCTAGTATGGGCCAACAGGCCTGCTGCAGTGATCCTCCTTTCTTATGTTCTTATAATGTTTTTTTAATGAGTGTGCTGTAGGAGTGTGAGCAAAAGAATTTTTATAAGGGGATTTGGGGAAATTGGTTAGCCAGACTTGAGTTTTGGATGAGAGGTGAAGATATTGCAGTCAGAGGATAATCTGATTGTGATGTCAGCATACTTCTGGAAAAATGGCAGTTGATTGAATGATGGTGAAGGTGCTTTCTTGAGTCACCCTGCCTTGTTAGGAGATGGCTGTTGAGAAATAATAATAATAATAAGAATAATAATATGATTTTTTTTTGATGACTGATTATGAAATCTTTTGATTGAAGATAGAATAAGGGAAACAATAAGAGTAGAGGGTGAAAAAATTTACAGATAAAAGTACAGCCTCTCCTTACTTAGTGATGTACTCATTTACCGATGACTCAGACTTACAACAGGCTCTCTGACCAATATGCATACCTAAATAATGTATATTAGAGCTGATTTCCTCTGTTCTTCTTATTACAATATACGTACAGTACACTACTGTATAAACATTTAAAAATATACTAAAAATGTTATAAATGGTGCAAAGGTCACTTTAAAACAATATCAAAGACGGTTGACACAAACCCATTACTATTATAGTATGCTCCTTACTCAGTGACAAATTCTTTTACCGACATGGTGTTAGGAATGGAACTCCGTCGTTAAGTGAGGAAAGGCTGTATATGTAAATGCTTCCTTGTTCTATTGTTGTATCTTCTAAATTATTTGTATTTATTATTTACTTACAGAGGATGATTTTAATCATAATGCTACTCTGCTGCTCATAGAATGTATTCGGGACCGATACGATCAGTTTTGTTCTTCAAGGCAAGAAAGAAATCTGGTGTATATGGAGATACAGGAGGAATTGAGGTATTATTCCTATACCTTTTCTATTGAAAAGATCCGCAGTAAGTGGAACAGTCTTGTTACAACCTATAAGAGAATTAAAGATCGACATAAAATTGGTGGCATTGGACTTGGAAGGAGAATTTGGGACTATTTTCAGGTATGTTGATTTATACTTTATTTTTATTTTATTTTAAGTACATATACTGTACATACATAAATCTATATATTGCATTATATATACATACAGTATTAACCTTATTTGCAACTTCAGCATGAAGCATAATTTTATATATACACACCATACCATGGGTGGGGTTTGATCCCATGGTCAGAGAGTCTCAAAACTCCAGACCATCGTGTTAGCCACTGGACCAGCTAGCCACAATAAGATTCGTCCAACTAGTGGCTAGCTGGTCCAGTGGCTAACACGATGGTCTGGAGTTTTGAGACTCTCTGACCGCGGGATCAAACCCCACCCGTGGAATGGTTTGTTTGCAATCGTGTCTTTATATATACACAGTGGAAAGGGGGGGAAATTGGATGGCAGCCCACACTTTCATCTCATATTTCAATATATATTCAGAGATATCTTCATCCCTAAAGGTGTCGTATCTTGAAATTGAGATGCTGTTATCAAAATTGAAATGCAGTATTGAATCACCATCAACAAATTTATGTGTATGAAGTACTGAGTATACATATGAATAATATACTGGCATACATGTGTTTCCTTTTTCACAGCCTTTGGATGATCTCTTAGGGCCAACATACATATCACCAGTATCTTCTGGTCTTTCAACACCAACTATAAGACTCCAAACACCTAAGGTCAGCAACCATTCCCCTTCAGTGCCAACTGTCATTCTCAAAACCTCATCATCCCCAGAGCTGTCATCTACTCCTCCCTTGGCCTTCTCACCAGCTCTGCTTCAGTCTGCATCTTCCACCAATACATCACATGAAATTAAAAGAAAAAACTCTGATTCTGTCTTGGTCAATCTTGATTGCCTGGCTGAAAGAGGAAAAAAACGACAACATATGATAGAGCAATACTTTCAGGAAGTGAAATATAAAGAAGCAAAAGAGGAAGAATATAGAAAACGAAAGGAGAGGAGAGAGAGAATTAAGCTTAAAGCACTGCAGAAAATAGGAAAGGAACTTCAAAGCATAGCAAATGTGCAGTTGGAAATAATAAAAAAACAGGATTTAATTTTGGAAGAAATTAATCGGTGAATTTGGGTTTCAAGAGCCCATCATACTACCAGTACTGATTATAGGAGTATATTCCACTGTTCTGAGTTAATATTTTATAAGTACAATGCATCTTTCAAGAGGGAAGAAATATCTAGTTGTTATTGTTTGATTAAATTAATATTGACATTTTTGGATTAATGTTACCATAACATAATTATGAGGTAGAACATCAGCCATTGGTGTGGTACTGTTAATAATATATTCAGTACTTGGTCAGTTAGGTAAAAAACTGTTGAGTCAGCCCAGCATCTGGACAAACAGTTGCATGGATGCAATCTCACCCTCGGTAAAGTTTTCATGTTACAGTGCTCAAGACTGCAGTGTTAGTGCACCTTGTATTTTAAACTAGTGCTGTATGTCTCTATTGGGTTTAGTGCATCCCCATAAATATAATGGTTATAATAATTATGTTATAAGTTAAGCTTAATTTATGTTCTCTTATTTATTCAAGTTTTAGATCTAGCAAAATAATATTTAGCACTTTAATTTAATTACAAGTTTAGAAAGTAATGTATAAATTAAAACAATATTTTATAATGAAATGCTATATAGTAAACCATGAGTATGAGTGAAGTTGGATTGCATTAGATTGTCTTAGTGTTATTAAGAAATTGTAATGAAAAATATATAGCTTGGGGAGAGGATTGATATTGTGCGACAAATTTAAAAATTAAGTAAAGGGGAAAATTTTGGGATAGTTCCCTTTATTTTTATCTGCTCTCCAAACCCATGAGCAGTGCCTTCCCCAGCTGCGGGGACCGGGTAGTAACCTGGCAGTGCCCCCCCCCCCCCCTTCTCTCCCCCCACTTCCCAAAAAGCCTACGGGCCTTTTTTTTCCCATCCCCCCACTTTTCTTCAAATCATCATGTCCCCCTAAACAGCAAATATTCCTTGCCTAATTTTGTCCCAATATAATTTATCATGCTTAATATATGCACAGTAATAAAAAACTGTATAAAAAGAAGAAAATTCAGTCAGCTTATCAAGAATAAGAAAAGTTCAGTACCAAAAATATTGTATTAATGTCCCAAAGGCTAGTACTGCAACCCAGTACATGATTATCGTAAATTTCCCCTACCATTATTGCCTTTACATGATGTACCTACCTCTGTATTTCTAAAATTGTTGGAAATGTTGGGGATTTATAAGAAGGAGTGAAACATTTAAAAAAAGAAAGTTATAGTTGAGGTACAGTAAACAGTTTAATGAGGATTTACCTGACACCCACAAAAAAGTTGCATTTTGTAGAGATTTAAAACCCAAAATATTCCTAGGGTGGCAAATAAGTTATTTGGCTAATAAAATGAAGAAGATGTATGGGGAAATCCTTGCGTCCTGCTTTTTTGTTATATTTTTGTATTGTCAACATAGCAGTAATATTTAGAGAGGGAGGTGGTGGCATCCTACTTCCCTGCTGAATCTTGGCTTCAGCTCGGCCAAAGTGTGGTGTTCCTTTCTCTTACACTAACTACAACACTATTGGCCCCTCTTGCATAGATCATGGAAAATATAAGTTATCCTGATATTAACCATTTATTAAATGACTTACATCAAACAGCAACTGTAATTGTTATACAGCAGACCAAACAAAGACATTACTCAGAGCCAACAAAAACATAACTATCTTTAACCCTTTCAGGGGCCACAGGCACTCTCAAGAGACTTGTTCTCAGGGTTCCCCAGATTTCAAAAAAAAAAATTTATTTTTCTTATAAAAAGATAGAGAATCTTTTCCCGATCATATTATTATTATAATCAAAAAGAAGCGCTAAGCCACAAGGGCTATACAGCTCTGCAGAGCAGGAAGGAAGCGAGGGCATCAGGTGGCAAAAGGGAGGTGGATGAGTAATAGGTTACGGATAACAGCGGAGCAGTGGATGGTGAAAGGGTAAAGGGCAGCAAGAGACTGAGCTAGAAAGGGCTGAGGGGAGTGCGTAAGGTATCATCAGAGTTTGTGGAGTAAATCAGTCGTTGTCAAGAAGTCAATGAGAGAGTCAGGATTAAAGGAGGGTCCATCAGCAAGAAGGGAAGGTAAAGAGAGAGTAGTAGAACGAAGACGGCGTTGGCAGTAAATTCTGCGTGCTCGTTGATAAAGAGGGCAGTCTAACAGAATGTGGCTAATCGATACTGGAACTTGACACTGCTCACAGAGAGGTACAGGGTGCCTCTCCATGAGATACCCGTGAGTAAGACGAGTGTGGCCAATGCGAAGACAGGAGAGAGTGGTCTCCCAACCACGGCACTGATGACAAGAAGACGGCCAGTAACCTATGCTCGGTTTAATAGAGTGAAGATTGTTACCAAGCAGAGTTGACCAACGTTGTTGCCAACGGGTGTGAAGGTGGGTAGCTATTGCAGCAAAATAGTCCAGAAATGGAACACCTCTATAGGAAATTGGTAGGTCATGTACTGCTGACCGCGCAGCAGTGTCTGCCTGTTCATTGCCCTGTACGTCGACATGACCAGGGATCCAACAAAAAATAATATCTTTATGCTTCGTAGAGATACGGCGTAGCCAAAGTTGGATACGGAGAACTAGGGGGCGAGATGTATCAAATTTTCGTATAGCCTGTAGAGCACTAAGGGAGTCTGAGACTACCACAAATGATGACACAGGCATAGATGCGATACGAATAAGTGCTGCAAGAATGGCATACAGTTCAGCAGTAAAAATGCTAGCCGAAGATAGTAAATGCCCCCGCACGATGCTGTCCGGAAACACTGCTGCGAATCCGATGCCGTCTGAAGACTTAGAGCCATCTGTGTACACAGCGGTGGCATGAGAATGGGAGTGGAAGTGATCAAGAAAAAGAAAGCGGGAAGCCACCGTAGGCAGTTGAGCTTTCAAGCAAGGGAGTGAGAAAGAACAGACCCAAACAGCTGGAACTTCCCAGGGGGGTAGGGAAAAGTGAGATGCTACATGAACATATAAAGGTGGTAACTGAAGGGAAGACAAGAGTGAATGTAGGCGAAGAGAAAAGGGACGGAGCAAACAAGGGCGGCGAACAAATAAAGAATGTCTACTAATATCGGTGACCATTCTATAAATGGAAGGATTGTGGAGATCGTGAGAGCGTACATAGTAGCGAAGGCAATGGGCATCACGGCGATCAGACAAGGATGGAACATTTGCTTCTGCATAGAGGCTCTCAACAGGGGAAGAGCGAAAAGCACCAAGGCACAAACGTAATAGTTGGTGATGGATAGAGTTAAGGCTAGAGAGAGTAGCAGGAGAGCCGCGAATAAATCTGGTCACCATAATCGAGTTTCGATAAAATGAGGGCTGAATGTAGGCATAGCAGAGTTCGACGATCAGCTCCCCAGGAAAGATGAGCAAGGGTTTTAAGAAGGTTTAGCCGGCTGTGACAAGTTGCCTTCAGAGAGGTAATGTGAGGTTTCCAGGATAACCTACGGTCAAATAGAAGGCCTAGAAACCTGACTGTATTACGTTCGGGGATACGGGAGCCACAGAGATACAAAGGATGATCAGAGATGACAGAGCGTCTAGTGAAAGTAATTTGGTGAGTTTTGGTACTTGAAAATTTAAACCCATGCGTGGTGGCCCAAGTGGAAACACGGTCGACCGCATGCTGGAGAGAAACTGCAATAAGATGACAGTCAGCGCCTGCACAAGCAATAGCGAAGTCATCAACATAGAGTGATGACCAAATATTGGGTGGAAGAACAGAGGCCAAATCATTTATAGCAAGGAGAAAAAGTGTTGTGCTTAGAACACATCCCTGAGGGACACCTTCAGCTTGGACGAAGTCCGGGAAAGAACATTATTGACTCGAACACGGAAATGTCTGTCAGTTAAAAAGTTCTTAAGGAAGGATGGTAGATTGCCTCGGAGGCCTAAGGAATGGGCCTGGGCCAAAATATTATACCTCGAAGTTGTGTCATATGCCTTCTCAAGGTCAAAAAATATGGCAATAACTGAGTGATTATTCGCAAAGGCATTATGAACATACGTATCCAAGCGTAGTAAGGGGTCTATGGTAGAACGACCCTTACGAAAGCCATATTGACTAGTGGAGAGACTTGGTTTGTGTGTCTCTAAATACCACATTAAACGTCGATTTACGAGACGTTCCATCACTTTGCAAACTGCACTAGTAAGAGAGATGGGACGATAGTGGGAGGCATCATGTCCTGTAGTACCCGGTTTGCGGAAAGGGAGAACAATGGCGGATTTCCACAGCTGGGGAAGAACTCCTTGTGCCCAAATAAGATTGAAGAGGTGTAAGAGGACTACAAGGGCTGACCGATGTAAATGTTGTAACATACGAATATGAATGTCGTCAGGCCTAGCTGTCGATGATCGGCAAGCTGAGAGCGTTGCCTCTAGTTCTTGAAGTGTAAAAGGCACATTATACTGTTCTTCTCTGAGAGAAGAAAAGTCCAAGGGTACTAACTCTCTGGCAGACTTTGAGGAAAGAAACGAGGGGCATAGATGGAGCCTCCGAGAAATACGGACCAGATGTGTGCCAAGTTCAATGGCAACGTCGAGAGGGTTTGCTACATCAACACCAGCGACCCGTAGAACAGGAGCCGGGTCAGGAGAGTATTTACCACTCAATTTCCTCACTTTTTTCCAGACTGCACTCATAGAAGAAGCAGAGGTGATGGTGGAAACATAGTCTCGCCAACAAGTGCGTTTAGCTTCACGGATGACACGGCGAGCGATCGCACGCTTCTGCTTAAAATCAAGAAGTCTCTCAGCGTTTCTATTGTACCGGTACCTGCCCCAAGCAGCGCGATTTCAAACGTACTGCATGAGCACAAGCAGGAGACCACCAAGGCACGCACTTCTGAGAATGCCTGCCTGAGGTTTGGGGTATAGAATGAGAAGCTGCGGTATAAACTGACGTCGAGAAGAGGTGTAGGAGCTCATCAATGAGGATGAAGAAGGAACCTCACTAAAAGCAGTGAGGTGTGAGTAAAGATCCCAATTTGCCCGATCAAATTGCCAGCGAGGGCTACGGAAAGGTGGTGAATAGGAAGGAGAAGTAAGAATGATTGGAAAATGATCGCTGTCATGTAAGTCCGGTAGAACAGACCAGGTGAAGTCTAGTGCAGTGGAGGAAGAGCAGACTGATAGATCGATGCAAGAGAGAGTATGAGTACGAGGATCAAAATGGGTGGGAGTACCCGTATTTAAAACATGGAGGAGGTGAGAGGCGAGAAAAGCCTCCAACTGGATGCCACGTAAGTAACAATGAGACCCCCCCCCAGAGGAAATGGTGGGCATTAAAATCACCAAGTAACAGAAGTGGTGGTGGTAAGGATGAAACAAGAAAGGCAAAGTCTGGGATAGAAAATGCTCGAGAAGGAGAGAAATATAAAGAACATATTGTAAACCACTTATTCAAGTGGATACGGGCTGCAGTGTAATGCAGCGAGGTATGGACAAATAGTTGACAGTACGGAATATCATTGCGTAGAAGAAGGGCACTTCATTAAAGGTCCCATCTGAGAAAGGATCCGAAGAATACAATAAATTATAGCCTGAGATAGGTTGGAAAACAGCCGAGTGTAATTTTGGTTCTTGTAAGCAAGCACCAACAGGGGAAAACCTGGAAAGCAACATCTGAAGCTCACCCCGATTACCCCTGAGGCCGCGGATATTCCACTGTAAATAGGCCATGATTGGCGATGAAGAAAATACCAGGAA